AAAATGCATTAAGTAAAACCCTTCCCCCATCAATGGCATATCATATCAATGCTCGAGTATGGTGGATGAAAGTCACATTAAAACCGTTTGGTTCTGTTGCCTTGTTGACTATCAGCCAAACTAATTTCATTGTTTTTTGGCTTTAATATCTTCCTCTGTCTATTTGCCATACAAATGTTTATTTTAAAAAAAAAATTGTTGTACAAATGTTTATTATATCATGATGTGTCCTGGTATTGCTTTCTCCTTAATGGTTGTAAAAATATTATATGGTTGTGGAATTTTGGTTATTCAGTTAACTTAGTCCTAATCTAAAACTACCTTCAAAGTTTTTATTAGCATGGATGTTACTGTTTCTTGTGTTGTGCACAGGTATACAGAGGACATGGAGCTTGATGATGCTGTTCACACAGCCATTTTGACACTGAAGGAAGGGTAGACATTTAACTTCTCTAATTTGTTTTGCCGGGCACTTTCTTAGCATTTATAATTGGAAGTCCCTGTAAATCAATGATAATTGAATCAATTAGCCTGAAATTGGTGGATTTGAATGTGTCATTAAATATTATGTTGCCTGCAAAAGGCGGAGAAATTAGTATCTCAGCGTGCATTCACACAGTTTGATTACTTTCCAAATATGAAAGACAGGTGTTGACGTTAATGCCTTAACAATAATTCCAATTACTTGATGGTAGATATTAAAGCCAAATCAACTTCAAATTCACATGCTTGTACAATGTGTATCACGCTAGAACTTTTGAAATAGCTTTATAATTTTAGTTTCATCATATTTTGTAGGTTTGAAGGACAAATTTCTGGGAAAAATATAGAGATTGGTATTATTGGTGCTGACAAAAAATTCAGGTAAGTTCTTATTTTGGTATTCCTGTACTTTGTTCTCTTATCTCTTTGTTAACATATTCTGATCAAAAGAGGAAAAGATGATGTGCCATGAAGCCTAGTTTTAGTTCCCACATCAAAGTGTCTTTAGGAAGAGTTTAATTCTTTTGTTTGAGATTTATAGGCCCATGGAGGCATGCTCAAGCTTTTCTGACAAATTTGTATGGCAGTTGCTGGACTCTTCTAAGTGTCTATAAATTTATTTAGTTGTGTTTTAACGCTTTGGCTTCTATAGGTACTAATAACCATCCTTTTCATGAAATAACCATACTACTTACTATATAACATACTGCACTGTACCAAACTTAGATGGGTATTCTAAGTTTTTGAGTGATAATTGTGGAGTCTTGGCATATGAGACAGTTCATCGTATGAGATGAAAAAAAAGTCGGGAACCTTCCATTATTTGGCAACATTTTGCATTTCTTACAATTTCAATGTTCTATTCTGCATCAATATTTAAATAAGTTTTAAGGGAATGTTTTGACTTTTTAGCTTTCAACCATGACCAGAGTTAATAGGGTTCATATTTTGAAAAAATTGGTTTTGATGTGGGAGTAATTAGTTCATCGAAGAACTGCAAGTATCGTACTGATCATTTTCCTTTTCACAGGGTACTAACATCAGCTGAAATTGACGATTACTTGGCCGAAGTTGAATAGATTGTTTATGTTTTTAGCATCCGTTTCGTGCAGCGGCACAAAATCCTAATCCTAAATCTCTTTGGCTCTATGTTCGACCCCACTGTTTATGAAAGCCCTGAGGCTAACATTGAAGAAAGAAAAAAAGAAACGGAATGATACTATTATGTACTTGTATAACACAGATTGATGGTTGAGGTTATTGAGCTTGTTTGCATTGACGTTAATGCTACCTCAAGATAATCATGTTTAGATTATCTTTAATGACAGTAATTTTTGACAGTCAGGGTGGTTTAAATGCATCGCCTAAAAGCCATTTGTTGTTTTATCTGAGGTAGATATCAAGTTAAAAATTATTGGCATGTTGAGAATGAAAGATTAATTGAGATATTTGGATTAATAATTAAGAGTTGGAGAGAATTTTAATATGTGATGATATGAGAGAATGCACATTTAATAGGGTGGGACATGATCTGATCTTTGATCTAAATGTTGCCCAATGTTGTTTTTCTGGACATGTTTTATGTGAGTTATTCACTAAAAATCTTTCTTAGTTCATTTTTTTTTTTGGAATTTATTTGATGCCTTAATGAATTTTGTGTGATAATGAATGTTTTGATTACAATTTTCAATGTCATAAGCTGTAACAAAACAAGTAGTGGATGGAATGAAATTTGATTTTGTTACATAATTAAGCATGGCCTCCCTGTTGGTGCTCTACTTTGGCAGCTTCTTTTGCTGATACGTAGTAGGCAATGCTAAAGAGTCCATGAATAAAGCAGAGGATACCTCCTATTGATAGGATCCGGTGATGAGCTATCCCACATGATTTTCTTGATTTTGCATTTGCTAATGTTCCAATTGTTAGCATTGAGACTCCAACGACTACTATAATCCTAGTAGGCCAACAATTTTTACACAATAAGTAAAATTAAATATGTATAAGAGAAGCTGATAATTTAAAGTTCTGATTATGGCTATGATAGAAAGTTAAATTATAATCAATGTTTTCTAAAAGATAAGATGCATATATACCAGGAGGAAATGAGAGAAGCAATGGCCAATTGCTTGTTTGGTGACGCTTTAACAAATTCTTCTTTAGACCATATGCAAATGCAGCCACCTAGCAAGTTAGCCATAACATGGGCAAGAGCCAAAAGTATAACTGCAGCTAATCCTAGTTTGTAAGCTTGATAATTTGGATCTCTGCACTCAAAAATCCACATCTTCAAATGCTTCACCTGTTCAACATAAACCCGAAATTTCATCAGCAGAAACCGACAATTACAAGTTTCTTACATTCTTAAAAAGAAAATACCTTATTCTGAGCTATTTCAGCTTCGATGCCAAGAATTCCAGCTGAAACATCTATTGCCATAATTAACAGACAAATCAAAAACCCTGCATTCTTTGCCATACTTGGAAAAAAGGAAGCTACGGTAGGGATGATTGCCCAGAAGAGAAACTCATCATTTATAACAACAAAACAATATAAAGAGAATAAGAATAAAGTGTAACACCACCTTTGTTTCAAGCATTACAATTTAGTAATAATAGCAGAATAAGATCAGCTGTGGTTGAGTAAAAAGCTTCTTTTGCCTACACATTTTTTGCTTCTTTATTCCTCATTTTCTTTAAAATCTCATATTCTTTACATAGAGGAGAAGGAAAGAAGAGTATCACCACCATGGTGGAAAAGGAAAGACTCTGTCATAACTCTTCCTTCTTGTATATACACCACCAGAATACTAATCCAAGTGTTCCATTCCTTATTGGGAAGTATCAATACTTTTAGGCATTACAAGGGAGGAGATGCTTTTACTTAAACATCCAAATAACTATTTTTATTGTAAGAGTCATTTTAGTTTAACAAATTTATAATCATTTCGTCAATTAAACTCTTATTATTCCATTTTTTTTTTGTTATTTATTTACCTAATAAAAAAAAAATCCGGCATGCTAAATATAAAAGTCTTTTTACCTATTGTAAATTACAGATCGTATCCTTTTATGACTAGTTATATCAGATATGTAACGGCCCCGGAAATATTAAAAAGAAATGAGTATTTAAATATATCGAATGTGGAAGCGAGATCAAAATTTTAGTTAACATCCCTTACACGAAAAAACCAAAAAACGTACTTAAAATATAAAAGATTAAACTAACTAAGAAAGAAACTCGAAAATAAAACTATGCGTATGACTACAGAGTCTCTAGGCATCCCCTTCGTCGTCCTCCTGCGGAACGGGCTCGGGAACCATGTCTTCCTGATCTGAAATGGTTAATTAAGGAGTGAGCTACACTAGCCCAGTAAGAACATCACGATATCTCACCGTCACGGAGATAAAGGTGGGTAGAAAATAAAAATGACCAATGGAGCAAAATTTACAACGAACTCGTTTATTAACATGAAAACCTTTACCATCCACTTACCTTGGTGGAATTTATGAAAACAATATGAGAAAAACAATAACATCATCATAATCATTGAATAATGTAAGCTGTAAAACATAACACTTATCACGCCTCTTGTAATTCAATCATTGTACAACATATCTTTTTATCATTTACCAGCTTACTAGTATCCGTGGGGGTCCATAGGGGTTCCGCTACCCGTTAACCTTTAACATTCATAATCAGTTTCCAGGGCCGTCCCCATACCCCGTCCGGTATGGGCGCCAAAACCATGAACCTCAATACCCCGTCCGGTATGAGGGTGAAACGGGCCGTCCCCATACCCCGTCCGGTATGGGCGCCAAAACCATGAACCTCAATACCCCGTCCGGTATGAGGGTGAAACGGGCCGTCCCCATACCCCGTCCGGTATGGGCGCCAAAACCATGAACCTCAATACCCCGTCCGGTATGAGGGTGAAACGGGCCGTCCCCATACCCCGTCCGGTATGGGCGCCAAAACCATGAACCTCAATACCCCGTCCGGTATGAGGGTGAAACGGGCCGTCCCCATACCCCGTCCGGTATGGGCGCCAAAACCATAAGATCTCCATACCCCGTCCGGCATGTGAGACCACAATCCCGGTAGGGTTCCCTACGGACCCGGTCCGTCCACCATCTCCCAGGATATCTAGTCAGGCTGACCCCCATAATACAATTATCAGTCTACACAATCTTTCATTTTCCTTTTCCTCAGTCAGCATCATCAATTTACATACAAACAAGCAAAACAGTAATTTATGCCGAACATACAATATACAGTATCAGTTATTCAGTCATTCAACCCATGATTAATAAAAACGTAGTAAATGCGCACAAATCTGTAAAATAAACACATCAAACCTCATTTTGCATTTAAAGCTGTAAACAGGCCAAATAACAGTAAATCACCAATCACACTAGACTCGGGCTCCATTAGCCACCTTAAGCAATTTCACACATTCGTTAATTCAAGAAATACCGTTTTATCATTTTGAACTTTAATACCGTGATAGGAAATAGGGTGAGAGGTCCTTACTTGTTTTCGGGATCCGAATACGATTCACAGTGCGCCTGCAGGCCGTCCCTAATTTTCCCTGAGTTTTTCCCGGGAAACTGAAACACACTAACCGTACCTGCACGTGTTCCAAAAAAAATCCAAATTAGGCCCAGGGCCTCTTTCGGCCCAAATCGCAACTCCGGCACGGCGGCTCCGCCGTGCTCCGGCGACGGCGCCGCCGCTGGCGGCGGCGAGTCGCCTCGGGTTGGCTGTTTTCGGCCGTTTTCGGCCGAATTCGGCCACACTCGCATTGGTCCTTGTCAGAAAAGAACCTTAGGGCCCTCGGGGGGCCAAAAAATCACGGAAAAACGGAGCTTACCGGCGGCGGCGCTCTCGGGTGCAGCGGCTCTCCGGCGAGGTTCGTGTTTTGGTGATTCGGCTCCGGTCAACCTGTAGAGAAAAGAATGGTGATCACGGTGATATAAAAATTGCATCGAACGGAGGCCGGGAAGGGCCTCGTCGGAGGCAAAAACCGAGAGGGGGCGCGGCGGCGCCGCTGGGCTTCGGCCGCGTATTCCGGCCGTTTGGCCGGGATTTCGGCTTCGATTTGGCCATAGGAGGAATCAGTGGGGAAAAACGAGTCGGGGGTATGAAATTTACCTCGATCGGCGGTCGAAAATTTCCCCGGTGCGGCGGCGAGTGGCGGCGGGTGGCGGCGGTCGGCCTCTGGTTCGTCTTCTCCGGCGAGCGGCTGGCGGCTAGGGTTTGTGGTCTGGTGTGGGGGTTCTATTTATAACCCCTTGCCTTTTGATCACAGCCGTTCATTTTGTTTTAATCTGGGCCGTTCGTTTTTGATTGAATCTGGGCCGTCCGTGCGATTGAATCTGGGCCGTCCGATCGCGTGATTGATCTGGGCCGTCGGATCGCACCCACGCGGATCGCCAACGTGGCTCCTTTCGGAGTGACGCGATCTTGCCACGTGGCAGGTCCTGAATGGCCGGGACTGCTGACGTGCTGCTGACGTGGCCCCCCCTTTTTTT